ATATCATGTTTGGTAAGGTGGAGGGTCAGAGAAAAAGAGGAAGACCCCCAGCGAGATGGATTGGCAAAGTGGCAGCATCAGTGGGCTCAAGTATGGCAACAGTTGTGAGGTTGGCCCAGGACCGGGCAGTGTTTCGTTCTGTTGTACATAGGGTCGCTATGAGTTGGTACCAACTTGATGGCACCTAACAACAACAGGCCCAGCATTCCTTGGAGTTCTCCATGTGTCTTGGTATCAATCTTCTTCTGGATCTAGGAGCTTTGTAGTACCGGAACCCCCAGTCCAAAGGATATGCTCCACTCATGGCTCTTTTGTCTTGGTGGTAGTAGGTCCCTCTCATCTGTGCTCACTTCTCTCTTCTTTTATCTTATAAACAAAATGTGCTACAGACCACATCCCATGGGAACTACCCTTAGATCAGGGCTGTAATGGGATTAAGGTGCTGCATCCCAGCCTTACTCCTCTTAACTGGTTTATCCCATCAGCTCATGGGGAATCATCACACAACTGCCAAACCACAGAGAATCATGGTCCAGCCAAGCTGACACATATTTTAGGGGGGCACAATTCAATCCATGACAGGGGGCCCACAGGGGAGACAGGCAGAGAGGTCCTAGGGTGGGCTATGTAGGTCCTTATTAAGATTTTGGGGGTTTTGTCTGATGAGAAGTCACAGCGAGTGTTGACTAGAGGAGTCATGTGGTCTGACTTAAGCTTGGAAAGATCACAGTGGCTGGTGTTTGGAAAGGAGACACGAGGGGAACAGAGTAGAAGCCCTCTCCTTCTGTTGCTGCCTCTTTGCGTTAGGCATGTCTTAGCAGATGTGTTTCTTTGGAGAATGCCATGAAGGGAGGTTTTCTGTCAGTCATAAAGGTTTGGAAACACTGGAGAGGGACTTGATAAGAACATGAACTATTCTTAAGCTTCAGGTCCTTAGAGATCCGCTCAAGTGTTGTTGTTGTTACTGTTGTTTTGTTGCAGTTGTTTGGAAGGGAGCTGTGTTCACGATGTCAAATGTCTAATGGTTGTGGCTTGTCTACGTCTGATGCATCTGTAGCTGTGATTGGAGTGACACTCCTGGTCTCAATGGATCAGAAACTCCATTTGCTGCTGGTGACATCACTGAGATCTCTGAAGGCTGATGGGGTTTAGAAAGTAATTAAAGGGCTCTGAGGACACATAGGGTAGACTATCTCTCAACAACTCTTCACAATTAAGAATCAACTTGCCTAGACTTGTGTGGTCCAGCCCCTTTGGAGCACACAGACTCAGAAACCTTTCAGTATGTGGATCTGGGATCTAATATAAATGAAACTGGCTTCTAGGAAATGCAGGGTTGGAGCTGAGCCGAGGCCACCTCCCCTGATCTTGTATCTGTAGGCTTCAATGCCCCCATTGGCCAAAGAAGCACAGTGCAGGATCACCCCCAAAATGGTTGGAAAATAAAATTATTAGCAAACACAAGAGTTCCACGGAAACACCCACAACGTTGGCTTTGCCCCACTCCAACTTTCTCTCACGGGGATAATCCCATCCACCTTTGTAGCACGGTTGATGGACTCTTGTATACATGTTGTCTGCAGAAAGAACCTTTGACTGTGATGTGTGTCCCACTCTTTCAGGTCTATGGGCTGCTGGACGTCCTGGTGACTGACATGATGGTCCTGGCTGATGAACTCAACCCCATGAAGAATATCGAGTAGTGTTTCTGTCTCTAAACTTGGCTTGCACACCTGAGCAGCCTTCTGGGAGCTGGCTAACAGACAAATCAATAAAGAACCTTTAGATTTTTCTGCCATTTATACAGTACCTTTATGTCTTGGGTGTTGGATTTTGATGATACCCTCTCCCATCCCATCCTGTCCTCAGATTCATCCCTCCAGTTCCTGGAGTCATCCAGCAGGATGTGGATAGAGGAGTAAGTTGGTGACAGGACAGAGATTGTCACCCCTTATACTCTCTGCTTCTATGCACAACAAAACAGTTGTTATGTTTGAGCTCATAGTTGCAGCCACTGGGTCAGTCCATCTTGTTGAGGGTCTTGTTTTACTGACAAGCACAATGTCCTTTTCTAGGCCAAGTTCCTCCTGATAACATGTCCAAAGTACATACGATGAAGACTCACCATCTTTGCTTTTTTGTTTTTGCATGTGTGTGGCGCTGCTCGCTTTATTATTCCACATGTTCTATGCTGAGTTCATTTTTGTGTGTTTTCATTTTCTTTTCTCTTATGTTAATGGTTACTAAATCTTTTAAATTGTCCTCATTTTGTTAATTTTGATGTGCAGGTGTGTTAATTTTCTTGCAGTTACCATGTAACTTATTAATTTTCCCCATTAAAAAAGTCTGTTTTATCTTGAAATCTGCTTGACTCCCTTTCCATTTGGAAGTTCTGTATCTGCTATTTCCTCTTTTTTGCTTTGTAATCGACTTCATTATAAATTGATTATCTCTGGTTCCCTATTTTCAGTCTTGTAGGTTAGGATAAAAATAAACAAGATCATTTGAACCACAAGGTTGGTGGTTCAGACTCACCAGCTGCTCCTCAGAAACTCTATACAGGGTTGCTATTGAGTCAGAATGGACTCGACAGCACTTAACAATAACAGCAACAAGGTTTTACTTGAAATATTTCTTTATCTGGATTGAGTTCTGGGTGGTGGGGTCATGTACAGTAATCGCAGGTTGTTGTTTACTGTTGTTGGTTCTCAATCCAAAGAACACCCTTTAACAGTTTTTGTAGACTTGGTCTGATCAAGACAAATTCCATTCATTTCTGTTTATCAGGAAATGTCCTCATGTTGCCATCGTCTTTGAGGGACAGCTTTGTTGGGTATATGATTCTTAGTTGACAATTTTTTTCTTTCAGAGTTTTGTATATGTCATCCCATTGCCTTTTTGCCTGCATGGTTTCTGCTGAAAAATCAGAGTTTATTGGTTTATAGTTTTATTGGTTCCCTTTTGTAGGTAACTTCAATTTTTCTAAGCTGCGCTCGGGATTCTTTCCCTGTCTTTGGGTTTGGAAAGTTTGATTATGATATGTCTTGGTGGTTTTCTTTTGAGATCTATCCTGTTTGGTGTTCGTTCAGCTTCTTGTATGCTTCTCTTCTTAACTTTCATGGCGTTAGGGAAGTTTCCTTCCAACAACTCTTACAATTTTCTCTGTGTTTTTTGTTGTCTCTATTTTTTCTGGAATTCTGGTCACCCGTAAGTTGTTCCTCTTCATGGTACCCCATGTAACTCTAAAGATTTCTTTGGATTCTTTCATTCTTTTTTCTGATCTTCTAGCGTACTAGTAGGAGTCCTGATGCCGCGCTGGGCGTTACTGTGCTGGACTGCAAAGTCATTTGAACTGCAAGGCCAGTGGTTCAATCTTAGCAGCTGCTCCTTGAAACCCCTATACAGGGTCGATATGGGTTGGAACCAACCCAAAGGCACTTAACAACAACAACAGCAGCAGTAAACTAATATTGTGTTTTTCAGTAATTCAGGCTTTCATTGCTTAAAATATGTTCCTTTGTCCTTTCAATGTATTATCCATTCCCAAAATCTAAGTTTTAATCTTCTGGATTTCCAATGACAGGTTTTGTATTGTTTCATAATTTGCATTTATTTGGTGTTTGTTCTTGTAGTGTTTTTAAAGTTTCTTCTATGTTCTTGTTTTCCTCAATCTTTTTATAATCGTTTGAAGGTGCCTAAATAATCATTCTTTTGAATTCTTTGTCAGTTAGTTCCATTATCATTTCTTCCTCAGAACCATCATCTGGCTTTGCATCTTAATCATTCTCTCTTGTTTCTTCATGTGAGCTAAAATGGTTATCTGTGGGATATTGTGGAATTGTCATATTTGTATTTAATTGATGATTTATGTTGATGTGTTGTTAGGCTCTCACCAGTTGTTTCCTATGTTAAGAGACTAGAAGTGTGTACAACGTTCTCATTCACCATTCATGCACCTCAGTTTACAGTGGGTTTGACTGGTGGAGGCTGCTGTCTGTCATTGATCAGGTGATATAAGAGCTGGTATTGGCTCTTGCCAGTAAGTGGAGCTATAGTGGGTAGAGTTGCGACTGGGCTGTACAGGTAGGTTGCTGCCTGCTGTTGGTGGGAAAGAGAAAACCCCTCCCCCCCACACACAAGAAAACAAAATGGAATAAACAAACAAGGAACCAACAATGAAAAGATAATAAAGAGAAAAAAGAAAAACAAGTAGCAACAGAAAAAAGGAATATAACAACTATAAAGAGAAAAGAGGGACAGGGAAATGGAGTTCTAGAAGAGAAAAATAAATAAAAGAAAAATTTTTGAATACCACTTAACTAAAAAGAGAAAAGAGGAGCAGGAAAGTGGAGCTATGGAAGAGAAAAATAAGAGAGGAAATAAAAGGAAGAAATAAATAAAAAGAAAACACAGAAAAACCAGTGAGAGGGGAGATGAGAAAGAGTAGAGAGTAGTGAAGAAAGATCAAAGAGGGGAAAAAAGAAGAGGAGAAATGAGAAACAGGAAAGAAGGGAAAAGTGGAGACAGGATAAAATTCAAGGGACTAGAAAGAAAAGAAAAAGGAAGAGAAAGACTAGACAAACAAGAAAAAAACCAAACTCCAAACGAAAAAATCAGTGCGGTGTTGGACGGGGAGTGGGGAAAACTCTGGGGGCTCCCGCAAGCCAAGGAGTCCCTGGCCCTAGATGGAGTTCTTACAGGCCTCCGGGTTACCGATGTTCAGGGCACTAAACATGGAAGTAGTTCGTGAAGGCCCTTGATACAACTGGTTTCAGTGTCTATTAGGACCACAGGGCAGTTGGGGGGCAGGGTGACTGGTTAAATACTGATCTGGAGGCTCTGTGGGTTCCATAGGTTCTGTAGGTCCTAAGCCGAGCCACCTGAATCTAGGCACCAAAATGACACACTAAATCAGAGCAGCGGACTCCCTGCCTCACACTGGTGTGGCTCTGAACTCCTGGAGAGCAGAGTCTGAGCTGGTGATAGATGAGGGTGGGAGCTAACTATACCTCTGGTCACCAGAGGTGGGGGGCATGGGCCAGGGGGCGGAGGAGGGAGAAGGAATCACATCTGTGACTACCTGTGTGGCTATGCTCTGTCAGGAGGCCACCTTCCGTTGCCAAAGCTGCTCACAAAGGTTTAAAAAGGCCGTACCATGTCTGGCTGGCTGTTCACCAGTCATTCTTCCTCTCCTGCAGTCCCTGCTCAGCTTCTTCTCCAACCTTTCTTCTGAAGTTCAAGGTTCCAGGATTTTCATGTGTGTCTGTTTCATTTGGTCTCTCTTGTATTTTTGTTGTGGAGGGTCTGTGTAATGCCTCTGTCTAGTCTGCCATCTTACTGGAAGTCTCTTTACTTCCTGTAAGGAGCATCTTTTGATGCTTCCTGTATCTTTTAATATTTTACCCATTGAATCTGTTGCGACTTGAAGTTTGAAAATTTTCTCAGTTCTTTTATCTCCTGAAATACTGAGGGTGTTCTTCCTTTTGACTTTTTAACTCCAGGTCTTTGCACATTTCATTGTAATACTTTACTTTGTCTTCTTGAGCTGCCCTTTGACATATTCCATTCAGCTCTTTTACATGATCATTTCTTCACTTGCTTTAGTTACTCTATGTTCAAGAGCAGGTTTCAGAGTCTCTTCTGACATCAACTTTATTTTTTTCTTTTCTGTCTTCTTAATTTCTTCACAAATAATGTTCTTGATGTTATCCCACAACTCTTCTGGTCTTCAGTCATTAGTGGGTCCAAACTTTTAGGGTCATGCTTCCTGTAGCCATGTCTTTCTAGAGAATCATTACCAAGTATGACAAAAAGAGACTAGGAGGATTAGGTCCCCAGGATCTGGCTCCCTGAAATCCATCCACTTCAGCTGCATCCAAGGACCCCATCCCAATCCCTGAGGCTCATGCCCACCACAACTCCTAACCCTGAAGGACCCTTGTCCTTAGTAAGAAGTCAGTCTTCTCATGGGCCACTAGATCTGTCTTAGCCCCCTCTCCATGTCAATTTATCACCTTCTGGAGCCTTAGAAACAGTCACTGGACTTCATTTCTCTCCCCTGCTCAGAGGCACTGAAGTGGTGAGAGATGGCTCTTGGAAAGAAAGATGCTGTATTGTCCCAGATTCAATACCATGATTGTATTTTTGTTGATAAAATTCATTCTGTATCAGACTTTCAGAATTTGAAGAGCAAGTGCTGACGGTGCAGAGAAGGCAAAGGCTAGAGGACTGGTGGAGCAGGTCCCCAGACTGGAAGCACCCTGGGTTTGCATTTGGCTTTTCTGATCGGGACCTGGAGGACCTCCAGCAGCCTCCAGCTGAGACATGGAAGAAGGACGTTTAGAGAGAGCCGGATGCTCAATCCCTGAGTTGAGAGGGGGCTGGGCCTTCCAGAAGGCAGCAACTCCACCAAAGAGCCAGCCCCAGGGAATAGTCTTGCCTTTTCCTTTCCAGTCTTGCAGCCCAGGGGAGGAAGGACCTGGTGGGGTCGGTATGCAAGTCCCCGGCACTCCCTCTGGAGGGAGTCAGGGAAAGGGTTAACCTACTGCAGGGTGGGAGTGGGTTGACCCCACAGGCCCCTGAACCACTCTTCTGAGACAGCCAGTAGGAAGGCATCCCACCTCTGTATGCGCCGCCTGCTGGGCCAGCAGGAAGGGGTTAACTCACCCGCACACCCTCCTGTGTCCTGTTACTGCTGAGGCAGACCTGCCCGGCCAGCCGAGCAACTTTCCTGCGTGCAGCCAGCAGCGCGTCTCTCAGCAAGCAGGCAGAAGGCAGAGCTGTTGCCCCTTCTCCAGGTCTGTACCTTCTGCGAGAGGGTGATTCTCCAGGACGAGGGCTGTGGTGGATGGCTCTGGAGACTTCCGAGGCTGCTTCCGAGACTGTGCTTGTCCTCCTGCCGTGCAGGTTGGAGGGTCACTGCAGAGGCCACTCAGTGCCCTGGGCTGGGACCAGGGGAGACTGCACCAGAGGTAGGTAAGCTGGGCCTCACACCTTCCTGGGTGTGTGTGTGCAGTGGGTGGCGCTTGGAAGGTGGGGGCAAAGAGTGGACTGATGGCTTAGTCTCCTTCCCAGGTGTGAGGAAAAGGGGGAAGGCAGGACCCGAGAGGCACCTAGAAGTGTCTTCCCCTGTCCCACCCTCCCTGTACCCCCTATCCTGGGACTGGTGTTGTCACCCACTCTCCAGACCCTGTGGGAAGCCCAGACTCCTGCTGGTCTCAGCCCACCCTTCATCCCCAGCTCCCTCTAGGCAGCCCTCAGCCTATTCTGGTGCCCCCAGGACACAGCTGCCCCAGGGCTAAGGAAGTTGACAGAAACTTAGTGCTTACTCCCCTGTCCCTCCAGCTGTAAGAAGCCAGTGAGTTTGGTACTGTTACTCCCTCCCTCGGCTGCTCATGCGAGACCTGATGGGGGTGCTGGGGCTCTTTAGCAAAGAAGAGAAAGGGGTGCGGGCACACACAGACTTTGCACAAACTCCTATACTTGGCTTGACAGATCTGGGTTCTCTCCATCTTCCTGAGCCCCCACTTTGGGGATGCCATCTGCTTCCCTAGTCCTGACTTTCAGGGAATCTATCCATGTTGCCCAGCCCTGTGGACTCTAAGACAGCAGCCCCCTAAAGTTTTCCATGGGACACTATTTTTAGGGCCAGCTGATACTCTGTCCCCCCAGAACCCACCCCTGCTGGTCATGGATCCTCCCAGCCTCCTCTCTGTCCTGTGTAGCCTCATCCTCTCCCCCCATCTCAAAACTGGCTTCTGGGTGCAGCCTTCTCAGTGTCTTTCCCTCCACCTGACAGGGTCTGGCTCAAGGTCACTGCAGTAATTCCATACCCGGCTGCCTGGGGCTGCCGCTGCTGCCTTATCAGCTGCTGGGGTTCTGTTTCAGCCCCTTTTATTTCTGGGCATCTTGTGTTCAATAAAACCCTTTGCTCTAACACTGCTGGCAGCGCTCCCAGCCGCTCCCTCCTGCTTTCCTCCCTTCCCTCCTCCCTCCCCTCCATGTTCCCTGGTCTCACCCTGCCCCCTTCCCTGCCTCCCTTGTCCCCTAAAAATTCAGGGGAAGGAGGTGGGAGGCTCCCCTCCTTCAGCTCTGGCAAAGATGGATCTAGAAGGCTCTTTTATGCCTACCTTGTGTGGGGGAAAGGCCAGGCAGCGCTGTGGGACCCACCTTGAGCACCCATCCACCCCCGCCTGAGACCTACACCCCAGCTGGAACCAGGCAGGAGAGTCAGGGCTGCTGGGCCCTGGTAGGGCCCCTGGTGGAGTCATGATGCCTGACTGGTTCTGCTGGTCTCAGTGGCCAGCCGGGGAGAGGTGTGCACTGGGGCGGGCTGAGTGCCACCCTCCAGCCTGCCAGGCGGGGAGGTTAAGCTAGGTCTGAGTCACTGGTGAGGAGGAGGGCAGGAGTTAAATGAGTGGTGGCCACCGCGGCATCCCCACAAAAGGCCTGCCAAGGGCTAGGCAGAAAGACACACGGCAGACAGAAGGTAGGCACTGCTTCAGCCAGGCTCTCTTTCCATACCCCATCTCCCAGGGGGTCCAAGCTTCTTGGTGGGTGCGCTCCCTGGCATTTGGGCCCCAAGGAAACCTGCCCAGGCCTGGGGGCCCATTTGGACTGAACCCAGCGCCTGTTCCTTTAAGCTGCCAGGTTGACAGGTTGGAGAAGAGGGAGGGTGGAGTTGAAGGGAGGCATAGAGAGCTTGGGTTGGGGGGAGGCAGCTTCTCCTGCCTGAATCTTGCCTTCTGGCAGCCTGGGGACCAGCTGGGCACAGTGAAGCTGAGGACACAGGGCAGAGAGGTGACATCCCACTGGGCATACAGCAGGGTCACGGGTGAGGTGGAGGCTGTCAGGTGTATGTATTGTATGTATGAGAGAGTATGTGTACGAGTGTATGTATGAAGGTATGTTTGAGATTATGTGTGTCGTTGAGTGTGTGAATTGAGTGGATGTGTGTGAATACGGCAGAGTATGAGTTAGCGTATGAGAGAGATTGTGTTCGAGTTACTATATCAATGTGTGTATGAGCGTGTGTCTTGTTGTATGAATGTGTGAAAGACTGTTTGAGTTGTTATAAGAACGTGCGTGTGTATATGTCTGTGTGTGCATGCACAGGTATACCCACATCGGTGCTAGAGGAATGACGGTGGCCAGGAGATTCCAGTTTTGTTTCTGGTGGGGCCTTGGGAGAGCCATCTCTCTGCCTTGGGCCTGGGTTGACTCTCTCTGGCAGCTTGGTCCTGAGACTGTGGAGGAGGGTAATACACTGGTCTTAACCCTCCTCTCAGCTGGGCATCAGAGGTCTGCCATGTGCCCAGACTGGCTTAGCCCTCAGGGAGCTTACAGTTGGAATGAGAAGGCGGGGCTGAGACAGTAAAACAATAAGATAAATTAATTACAAAACTGGGTGACACTGACAATAAGTATCAGATTAGTCTTCTTGAGACATAGGTGTTAGTCCTAGCTCTGCCACCTACACACCATGAGGTTGTGGGCAAGGTAGGTCCTTCTCCGGCCTCTGTGTTCTCGTTCGGATGGTGGGGGTGGCTAGAACTCTTCGAGAGTCAGTGTTCCCCAAATGTTCCTTTGCACTGGCCTTGTGGCCCAGCTCCCAGTGTCACCCTGGGCTTCCTCACCTTGCTGGTCCACTCCTGCTAACCCTTCCCTTCAGCCATCCCTCCTCTGGGTGTCCCCTCGCTGGCTGTCCCAGTGCTCCTCTGCACTGGCACTGCATTGGTACCCTCTCAACTGGACATGGGTAAGCCAGGGCTTCCGGTTTGTGCCTGGCTCAGAGAAGGACCCTAAGAAATTGGTGTTGAATGAATTAAAGCTCACAGTAGTCAGAGGAGAGGAAATTGAGGGTGATAAGCTGGAAAGGGCAGGTCTTCAGTTAGATCCTGGCGGGAATGGAAGTACCAAGCAGGAACAAGTGGGTGGGTGTTCCTGGGGTCACCTCAGTGTCTGTGATAAGGCCACAGACTCTGGGGAGGGGCTACCCTGGTAAATCCTGGCCCCCACTTACTGTGTGAGCTTCCCTTTCCCTGTGAATGGAGGTAATAATAATGGCAGCGGGGACACTCTGCCAGGCCTAATCCAGCCAGGTCTCAAGTGACCAGTGAGGCGAGCCATTGCCTGAGTTCCATTCTCTTTCCTCCAGACCCATGTGGAACCCAAAGACACCGCTGCCTTGCTGAGAGCACAGTGGCACCTCCTTCAAAACCGAGACCTCACGACGGTGGCCCTCAGTCCTCCACCTCAGGCTGGGGCGGGGGTCGCCCATCTCCAAGTCCCCAGCCATGACGACCTCAGCACTGCGGCGCCAGGTGAAGAACATCGTGCACAATTACTCCGAGGCGGAGATCAAGGTACGAGAAGCCACCAGCAATGACCCCTGGGGACCGCCCAGTTCCCTCATGTCAGAGATCGCAGACCTGACCTTTAACACGGTGGCCTTTGCCGAGGTCATGGGCATGCTGTGGCGGCGGCTCAATGACAGTGGCAAGAACTGGCGGCACGTGTACAAGGCACTGACGCTGCTGGACTACCTGCTGAAGACGGGCTCGGAGCGCGTGGCCCACCAGTGCCGCGAGAACCTCTACACCATCCAGACACTCAAGGACTTCCAGTACATAGACCGGGATGGCAAGGACCAGGGGGTAAATGTGCGCGAGAAGGTCAAGCAGGTCATGGCTCTGCTCAAGGACGAGGAACGCTTGCGGCAGGAGCGCACGCACGCCCTCAAGACCAAGGAGCGCATGGCGCTGGAGGGCGTCGGCATCGGCAGTGGGCAGCCGGGCTTCAGTCGTCGGCACTGCGATGACTATGGCCGTTCCCGTGGGTCCCCATCCTCCTACAACTGTGAGTGAGCCACTGGGGTGTGGCTGGGGACTGGGAGGAGGCTGCATTCCATTCCGGGCCCTGCAACACAGATAACAGTACCAACCTCTGAGGGTTATGAGGACCCAGTGCGGGGAGGAGCGAAACTGCAAGGCACAAGGCTCTCCTTGCCAAGGTCACAAAAATAACGTCATTTCTCTGGGAGGCAGGTGTCGTGACCTAAGTATCGGCTTTGGTCAGTAGTCCTCATTCTGTCCCTCACAAATTGTGTGACCTGGACTGGACCACCAGCTCTCTGAACTTCAGTGTTCTCATCTGTAAAGTGGGGATCACCTTACCTACCTCGACTGGTTGATATGAGAATTAATGAAATGGCTCAGGACACCCTCAGCCCCATGCTACACACTAGACACATTGTGTGCTCCATCCACAAATCCCCCTCCATCCTCCGACTCCGAGCACTGCCCTTGAAAACTGCCAAGCAGTTCTTGCCTCTCCCCCAGCAATGTGGGTTTTCATGGTCAGAGAAACCCATGGAAGTGGTCCTCCCTTTCATAAAGCCCTTGACAGTTGGCTTGTCAGGCCACCATGACTTTGACCGAAACCTCCCATCCTCTCACACACCTTGACATGAGATAGGAAGGGACCTGGGCATAAATCCTACTGCAGGACCCCTTTGCACATCTGTAAACAAGGGACTGGAATCTTTACCATAGGGGTGCAGCAGAAAATGTCCAGAAAGGCCAAGTACATTGCCTAGCCCATTGGAGCCCTTGACTGCCTCTCCCTTTCCTCCCCCATGAGCCTCAGCTTCCTGGCAGGCAGCTGTTGGGACCCCTTTGGGTGTGCTGTGGAAGCCCGTAGGCACCAGTTTGGTCACAAAGTCTCAATGTGTTGCAGCTTCCTCCTCATCCCCCCGTTACGCCTCAGACCTGGAGCAGGCCCGACCCCAGACATCAGGCGAAGAGGAGCTGCAGCTGCAGCTGGCCCTGGCCATGAGCCGTGAGGAAGCTGAGAAGGTGAGATTCCCTCCTGGGGCAGCCTGGAGGTCACCACAGCTGGTCAGGGCAAGAAGAGATGTCTAAGCTCCTAGGCTCCCTGACTCTGAGCCCCAAAGTTCCCATCCTGCTCCTAAGAGTAGCACAGAGCCTGTGTCCTGGTTTTGTCCCCATGGGGCTGGCCTCACTGCCTCCTAACACAGGCCGGGGGAGGGGCACTGAGTATGCATTGGGCATCAAGCACATGGTGTGCGGTGTGCTTTTATCACCTCAAAGTGGGGAAGAGGTGAGTGTGCTGATAGATGCGTTCCTAGAAGACACAAAGTTGTGCTGACACCCCCCTATCAGTTGCTCCCTAAAGCCCCAGGTTCTGCTCTTTTGGGGGAGGCAGGGGCGGTCCACCTGATATCTCCTCTCCCATTACTTTCGTGGATCTGGGCAGATCGGACAGGAAGCAGCTGCGCTTCACAGCAGGGCCAGAAGAAAAGGCTCAATCCTGATTTTCAAACTGCATTTCAGATCCAGGCAGGAAGCAAGTCATACCCACATTGTTGTCTGTGGGAAGTTCACCCCCACTCACGTGCTGCTCTTCTGACCTAGGGGTGGGGAACTGGGCCCAGCTTACCCTTCTTTTCCTCCCTAGCAGCCGGTACCCCCGGCCTCCCACAGGGATGAGGACCTGCAGCTGCAGCTGGCTCTGCGTCTGAGCCAGCAAGAGCATGAGAAGGTAGTAACTGAGCCACCTGTACTGGTGCTGGTGGAGGTGCTACCCAGGCCCTAGCCAGGCCCCTCCTGCTTCACCTGGTGGGCTTCACCTGGTGGTCCCTGCTGCTGCTCTGGACACCTGGTCCTAACCTCTTGCTGCCTCCCCCTCCGCACTCTCTTCTGGATTCAGATCTCTGGTTTTGTCAGGCACAGCCTGGACTGTTCATGCTCTCCTGGCCTCTCTTCCACAGGAGGTGAAGTCCTGGAGGGGAGATGACTCCCCCATGGCCAACAGTGCTGGGGCTGCAGCCCGCCGATGGCGGGATCGGGATCGGGATCGAGATCGAGAGCCCCAGAGAGAAGAGAAAAAGGAGACGCTGAAAACCAGCCAGGTAGGGAGGGAGCTAAGGTGCGGGGGCTGGACAGGTCCTGGGAGATGAAGTAATATTTTTAGTAAGTGTAGAACAGGGCTTGGTATAGTGAAATCATTAAGTGTTTATTAAATGAAAAGGAGGGGGTGTAGCAGCCCTCAGTCTCATACAGCAAGGCTGGAAACTGACTGATGATGGCAAAGTGGGATGTGAAGGATCCTGATCCAGGGTCCGAGGGATTTGCTGCTGCTCACTCCCTGGCCGGGCCTCAGTGTTCCTCCTCCACACAATGGGCATACTGAACAGTTCCAGCTCTGACATCCTAGGGACTATGTGATGCTGTGGGTCCAGACTAAAGGTGGGCTCAGCTACCTGCTGTTGCAGACGTCTTGGGCTCATAGACATACTTTCTGGGAGGGAGGAATGGAGGCTGTTGGAAGCAAGCCCACCCTGCAAAGCTGTCCATACTATTCTGGGGTATTTCTGACCCATGTTTCCTGTGGCCTAACTTCTCCTGGACACTGACCTAGGGAGGTAGGCTTGTGGTAAAATCGGTCTCCTCCCTCACTGCCCCTTTTTGCTGGAATGAGTGACAGGACACAAGAGGAATGGATCAGGTAGGGCTGGGGTCTCTTCCAACTCTGCCTCTCTCTGGATATATGACTTGAGGCATATTACTTCCTCACTTTGGGCTTCAGCTGGCTCACGTGTAAAATAGGTGCAATACCTGCTCTCTCTACCTCACAGGACTGTTGTGAAAATCAAGCACGAAATGGATGAGGAAATTGTTTAGACAGTGGAAAGCGAGGGATCATTAATAGATGTTTGTGGCATGAATAAAGCAGAGACTGAGCTGGAGTTGGGTTGACAGGTCAGGGCAGGTCCTCTTTCTGGCCCTGCCTGCTTCTGAGCCCTGATGCCTCTCCTCTCCACAGTCCTCCTTCCTGGACTTGGCTGACATCTTCGCATCTGCCCCGGCCCCACCCTCCACACACTGTTCTGCTGACCCATGGGACATCCCAGGTGGGTATGCAGGACTGCAAGAAGCTCCCAGCTCGCCTCAGGCCTCAGAGAACCCCTTCCTTCTCAGCACTTGCAGCCACCACTGCCCCATAGCTGAGGGTCACTGGGCAAGTCCCTCACCTTCCTTTGTAATCCAGGGGAGTAGTTAACAGCTAAGGAGCCTGCTTGAAGAGCACAGCTGATGGGGAAACTCAGCCAAGTGTTCTCTTGTTCCCTCTCTCCTTGACTTTCCTTACTGGGAAGGTGGTCTGAGTTGCCCTTGACTGGATGCCCAGGCTCCTGGGACAACTTGCTAAAAGTGGGCTCCAGCTGGCCCAAAGGTTCTGAGTTCTCACCCCACCTGTGAAGTGGGTCCCATAGGCTTCTAACTTGGGCTGGGTAAAGGAGGGCACTGGAAGGGGGTAAGGCTGGGCATGGGGTCATGTCTGTGCTGTTCATTTCAGGTCTCAGGCCAAGTACAGAGTCTGGAGGCTCTTCCTGGGGGCCTTCTGCAGACCCCTGGTCTCCAGTCCCCTCAGGAAATGCCCTTTCCCGAAGCCAACCCTGGGACTTGCCCCCTACACTTTCCTCCTCTGAGCCCTGGGGCCGGACCCCAGTGCTGCCTGCTGGACTCCCCACCACAGACCCCTGGACACTGACCTCCCCCCACCACAAACTGCCCAGCACTGGAGCCGACCCTTGGGGGGCCCCTGTGGAGACTTCCAACACACCTGGTAAGTGGAGTCAGGGCATGTGTGAGGGGCTAGGGGACTTCTGGGTCCCCCCTCTCTGAAGTGCCAAGATGCCACTGACCCTGTCTGTAATGAGAAGAGGTCTGCTTTCCTGAGAAGGGCTCAGATGGTGCTTGAACCTGTTGCTGTCTCTCTTCTTCCTTGGCCAGCTCTAGGTGGTACCTCAACCTTCGACCCATTTGCCAAACCTCCAGAATCCAGAGAGACCAAGGAGATGCTGGAGGGTGCCCAGGCCCTGACCTCTGGGAAGCCCAGCAGTCCTGTGGAGGCACTGAAATCCCAGGGAGTGGGTAAGCTCATATGGAGCTGGCCTCTGCCCCCTTCTGTCCACACCCTTGTCCAGTCCCTCTCTCCACTAATGAGTTCTACCCTTGCTATTACAGAACTGGACCTCTTTGGAGACCCAATCCCCAGCTCCAAGCAAAATGGCACGAAGGAGCCAGATGCCTTTGACCTGGATGTGCTGGAAGAAGCGCTAACCCAGTCTAGTACCGAGACCCGAGCCTGCAGGACTCCTGAGTCCTTCCTGGGCCCCTCAGCCTCTTCCTTGGTCAACCTTGACTCGTTGGTCAAGGTACCCCAAGCCTCAAGAACCCGAAACCCCTTCATGACAGGTAGGACAACCTTGGTACTTGCTCTCATCCACCCCTCCCTTCGGAACCCAGCCTCTTCCCTAGAATCTTACCCGTCCCTATCTGGAAGCCCCAGACCTTGCCAGCCTCCTGTACCCTCCGCATGTAAGCTTTCCAAGTTCCCTACCCATTCTCGTTCCGCAGGTCTCAGTGCTCCATCCCCTACCAACCCTTTTGGCGGGAGCGAGCCTTGCAGGCCTACCCTGAACCAGATGCGCACCGGGTCGCCAGCGCTGGGCCTGGCGGTGGGCGGGCCCATCGGGGCTCCCCTGGGCTCTATGACCTACAGCGCCTCCATGCCCCTCCCGCTCAGCAGCGTGCCTGCCAGCGTGACCCTCCCGGCCTCGGTCAGCGTCTTCCCGCAGGCTGGCACCTTTCCGCCGCAGCTCACTAGTCTGCCGCAACCGCTGCTGCCCACGTCAGGCTCTACCGGGCAGCCGAACCCGCCCCAGCCAACAACAGGCTGCAACCCCTTCCTCTGAGTGTCGCCCAGCGCCCTGAGGTCGGTCGGCGCATGCGCACGAGCACCTAGCTACTGCAGGGCTCCGCCCTTCAGGCATGGAGCCGGGTAAGGCTGCCAGCCCTAGGACCTTGTCGGGAGCGGCGTGGTCTGCCTGCGAGTCGGCTTGATGCAGTCATGGAGCCCTTTGATTGTGCTTGTTGAACAGTGTTGGAGGCCTCGGCAGACCCCTTACAGCTCCGAAAGCTCGAGCCTAGCAACTTCCCGGGTGGCGAGAGCACGCCCTGGTAATAAAGACTGGAAGCCACGACGTCTGCTCTCACAATGTGGATTTTTGCGGGCCGTGGTGGCAGGGTCTGAACCACCATAACATCAGTGACTGCGGTGGAAACAATTACTTAGCAATACTGGACACAAAAATTCTCCCACTTCTCTTACAGCCCCTCTCAAACTCTTCCTGCCTTCCCGCCGCCAATCCCTACTTAGATCTCAGTTTGGCATCTTTTCTTCCAGATGGTCCCCAGGCCCTCATTCATGTGGTCACTTCATTCATTTATTACACCTGAACTCCTGAGATAATTTAGCAACAAAGAACCATCGCTAACATTTACTGTGCATTGGTTAGGTGGTAAACACTTTAGACAGGTTGTTGTTGTTGTTAAGTGCCGTAGAGTCAATTCCTACCCATAGCGACCCTGTATAGCGTTTCCAAGGAGCAGCTGGTGAGCTTGAACCATCAACCTTGCAGTTCAAACGACTTTACAGTCTGACACATTAGCTCACAGCACCACACCAGGACTCCAGGTAATTTCATTTAATCCTTGCAACAGCTCTCTGGGGTTGTTGTTGTTAGGTGCCATTGAGTCTGTACTGACTCATAGCAACCCTACTATGCACAACAGAACAAAACACTGCCTGATCCTGGGCCAACCTCACAATTGTTGCCCATTGATACTGCCACTTTGCCAACCAGTCTCGCTGGGGGTCTTCCTCCTTTTTCTGACCCTCCGCCTTACCAAACATATCCTTCTCCAGTGACTGGTCCCTCCTGACAGTATGTCCAAAGTATGAGAGATGAAGTTTGGCCATCTTGGCTTCCAAGGAGCATTCTGGCTACACTTCTTCCAAAACGGATCTATTGGTTCTTTTGGCAGTCCATGGCACATTCCATATTCTCCTCCAACACTATAACTCAAAAGCATCAATTCTTCTACAGTCTTCCTTATTCACTGTCCAGCTTTCGCATGAATATGAGGTTATTGAAAATACCATGGCTTGGATCAGGAACACCTTAGTCCTCAAGCTGACATCTTTGCTCTTCAACACCTTAAAAAGGTCTTGTGCAGCAGATTTGCCTAATGCAATACATCCTAGGGTAGATACACTGATATTCCAAATTGGGACTGGCTATGTGGTGTGGCGCCACGAGCTAATGCCCTGGTTTGTTTGAACTGCGAGGTTGGTGGTTCAAGCTCACCAGCCACTCTTCAGAAAGCCTATACAGGGTCACTATGAGTCAGAACTGACTTGAGATACTTAACAACATGGCTATATAATTTGCGGTGTCCAGTGCAAAGTGTGGAGTCCTGGTGTGGCGCAGTGGGTTAATGCGCCAGACTCCAAAGCCATTTGAACTGCAAGGTCTGCAGTTCAATCTCACCAGCTGCTTCTCGGAAACCCTAGACAGGGTCACTATGGGTCAGAACTGACTCAATGGCGCTTAACAACAACAATCATTTTCTAGATGAGGAAGGCCCAGAGAGGTTAAGTGATGTGCTCAAAGTCACAAAGCTAGCAAAAGGACGCTGGGATTCAGACAAACAGTCTGGCTCCACAGCCTCAGATTTAATTCAGCAAATATTGACCAACTACTGTGGACAAAGTGCTGGCTGGCCTGGAAGAGATCCAAAAATTGCTAAGCCCACACCCTCTGGAAATCCCAGAGCAGTTGCACAGACAAGTGCCAGCCGGAACGTGACTTCACTGCAGCACAAGCCAGGGGGGGATGAGGCAGTGACTTTATTTTACAGATTCGCCTTAAATCCAGCTCTTGTTTTTGTTAAGTGCCCTTGAGTTGATTCCGACTCATAGTGGCCCTGTATTGGGTTTCCAAGGAGCAGCTGGTAAGCTTGAACCATCGACCTTGTGGTTCAAACTGACCTTGCAGTTCAGCGCATTAATCCGCAGTGCCACACCAGGACTCCAAAGCCAGCTCTATCCCTCCACGTAGTCCCCCTGATCCCCAACCCCTGCTCACCAGGACTAGCAGGAACCTCAATCTCAGATATCTTGAAGGAGCCTGACACAGCCTGGAGGGGCTTCCATGGGGCCACTATGGTCACTCCTTTTCTACTCAATGTACCCTAACAATTTGACCACTAGACGTGTGTCCTCAGTGCTGGGGTGTGTGTGCAGGTTTTGACCCCACAAACAACCTGCTGTTAGCCCTTACTCTCTCCAGGATGATTCCAGCAAAATAGGTCTGCCATAGAACAGTTACACCAAAGTGAGTGTGGTGGGGAGGGGAGTTGTGTTTAGGAGCACAATGCTTGGCTCCTCCTTGAGGTGAGGGTGGGGAAGGAGCCGCTTTGGTGTTTGGGACAGAGGGTCTGACTATGACAGTTACACTTACTTAAGAGTCAGACCAACAAGGTTCAAAACTCTGCCTCATGTTTTAAACTCAATAACTACTTAATAACTACTTAATAACTACTTAGTAATAAGTGGTTATGCTCTCTGACCCTTGAGTCGATTACTTAACCCCTCTGTGTCTGTGCCTCTAGTTCCTTACTTGTCAATGGAAATTAGAGTTCCTTCCTTCTAAGGTTGCTAAGTGTCTGATCTGCCCTGCACTCACCCTCTTCAGAGACTGACCAGGAGAAATGCCCCACAATCCTGCTTTTGCCAGGCAGTGCCCAAAGTCCAGTCCTCTTCTGTCCTTTGCCACATCCAGATCCAAGCCCTCCCTCCTTCTAGTTCCTGGACCCAACCCTTTGTTCTTCCTGACTTGGACCCTCCTACTCTTCTAGACCATCTACTCCTCGGAAACCCTATACAGGGTAGCTATAGGTCGGAACCGACTTGACGGCACTTAACAACTCTTCTAAACTGGCTCTGTGGAGGACACTGCTTCCCCGGGGGCCTCCTATGGAGTATTCTTTTGTCTTCCACAGAGAGGTTGCTCTGTGGAATACTGAGCAGGTTACTCCCATCTTCCTCTTATAAAAATCCCTCCCCTTTAAAGCAAATGACACTGGGTTCTCCTGCCATATCCCTGCCTACGGCTGCCACTCCACCTCATTCCTGGGATGCTTCAATCCTCTTCTCACTGGTTTTAACTTAATCCCATGTAACTCCATGGATGACCTCACGTCCCCTTGACTTCAACTATCCTCATCCAGGGTCCACACTTTGGAGCTTGGTCATCACCCTGAATTCCTCCACATTCACATAGGCTTCCTGGTCTCTGATCTTAACCTTATTTCAACTGGAGCAGGCTCCTTGGAAGCATACACCAGGCCCTCCAACTTGCTGACTCCCCCACCCTCAACCCCACCATAGTATCAGGAACTACACAGTATCAATGATTTCTCCTTGGTATCTTTAGTCCCATTCTCTTAGCAGACTCTTGCTCATTAATGCTGTCATTAACTTCATCTATCTTGAAAATATCTTCCCATCTTGCCCCCTCACATTAAGCATCTATTCCATCTAGCTCCTCTTTTCTTCCGCTCATTCCTCAGTCCATTCCAATCTAGTTTCTATTTTCAACCTGACCTCACTAACACACCACTCACCAAACTCACCAATGGCTGTCATGTTGCTAAACACCAATGTCACCAATGGCCGTCATGTTGCTAAACACCAATGTCACCAATGGCCGTCATGTTGCTAAACACCAATGTCACCAATGGCCGTCATGTTGCTAACACCAATGTCACCAATGGC